GTACTGGGGATTGAACTCAGGACACTGTGCTTGCCAGGCAAGCAATTATTCTACTGAGCTATCTCCCCAGCCCTTGAGTTTTTTATATACTGGTTTTGGGGAGATTGTTACAGGGGACCTAATTCATGGAGCAGAATGACTAGATTCTGTTGGTGGAATTGCTCAAACTGACACTGGTTCAAGAACGGATGACACTGAACAAATGCCAAACAATGTGGGCACAGAGATCCCTAGAAGCCAAGCTGGCTGGCTAAGGGACACAGAGTGGTGCAGGCCCTAAATTATTAAGTGTGCTTTAGCGAGGCTGCAGCACTTACTAGCTGGCTACTTGGGCCATGTACTCAACCGTGATGTCCTCCGGTGCTTTAGCTATAGAATAACAGTGGAGCATGGTTGTGCTGATCAGGTGACGCGAGTGAAACACACTCAGGATAATCCCTGCACACAACAAGCACCTGAGAAATGCACGTTCCTGCTACTCTTCCAGTGTTAGCACTGTTATTGCTGCCTGCAACTGATAATAAAGACGGGGGATTAAACCCAGGATCTTCACACTGAGATGCACTCCCCAGGCCACTTTTTATTTTTTATTTTGAGGGGCCGGGGAGATGGCTCAGTAGAATAAGCGCTTGCCCGGCAAGCGCAAAGGCCTGAGTTCAATCCCCGGTCCCACCAAAAAAAAAAAAAATGTGTATCACTTATCAAATATCTTTGGGGCTGGTGAGATGGCTCAGTGGTCTAAAGCACCTACTTAGAACAAGCTTAGCAAAGCACAGGGACCGTGGTTCAATCCCCCAGCCGGCCCCGCCCCCTGGTGGACTGAGCTGCCCACACACACACACACACACACAAATTTAAAAAAAAAAATTATTTTGAGTAAGAGTCTCACTAAGCCACTAAATTGCATAGGCTGGGCTTGGACTTGCTTTCCTCCTGCCTCAGCCTCCCAGAGTGCTGTGATTACCAGCATAGCTAACTTGTCTGGCTACAACGCACTGTTACAAAGCTGATTCCTGCTGGGGGTATAGCTCAGCGGCAGAAGCACCTTCCTGGCAAGTACGAGGTCTTGAGTTTGATTCCCAGTACCAAAAAAAAAAAAAAAAAAAAAAGAGAGAGACAAAGCAGATTCATACTTAAATTTGATTGCATAGGCATTAACAAAGCCCAAATCTTAGTTTTCATGTTTTTGCTGGCCAACTAGCTTCGTTCTAACTGAAACTCACACCCCTGCCCTCGATAAGGCAGGGGCTGTGCGTGCCAGATAAGGGTTCTCTGCCGCTGAGCTACACCTCAGGCCCTTGTAGCCGAAAGAAGACAGTTGGGAAGTGCAGGGGAAGAGAGCTGCTGTAGCTTTAGAGAGGTACATGTGAGAACCAGGTGTGGCGGCACACACCTGTAACCCCAGCATTTTATAATTCCAGCACTCAGGGGTGCTGAGGCAGGAGGACTGTTGTAAGCTCAAGACCAGCCTGGGCTATAAAGTGAGCTCAAGGCCAGCCTGAATTGCATAGTGAGACAGTCTCAAAAAAGACTGAAAAAAAAAAAGAAGTACATGTGAGATCTTTATGTTACCAGCAGCCTGAAAGGCCTCTGCTGCCCAGGAAGAGGTCACCTGCCCCCCAACCCCGCCATATTTAGCTCCACAGGGAGGGAGCAAGCGTCTCACCTGGAGGCTCTGGTGAAGTTTGTCTGCAAAGTACAGCGGTGTGTTTCTGACCACTGAGGCTGGAAGCAGAGAGGGAGGAATGGAGAGCCAGGCCTAGGGCCTCAGCTTCCCATCCCAGGGAGATCCCTACTCCATGCCTCAGGTGGGTCCCTACCTAGGTTGAGCAGGGCCGCCTGGGCATCGCCATTGAAATGATGTCTCACAGCCTCCTCCAGCGACCGTCCAGTGCGCCACTGGTACAGATCAAACACTTGCATGGGGAAGAAGTTAGAAAGATACCTTGGTGATGGCAGAAGGAGTCATCACAGAGAGGGGGTTCCCTCCACCTCCCTCTGCCAGAACTCATCACTAGAGCAAGCCAAGGGGACAAGAAGCCCCGTGTATACCTCGCCTGAGGTGTTCGGGATTGCGCTGGGTGAAGATCAGGACCCACAGTCGCTCTGTGCTGGGCCCTTCTCCCCGCTGTAGTGCCTGGGATGAAGGTGGGATTCAGCCAGGGTTGGGATGTTCCCAGAATCCATCATCACAATGATAGAAAGGAGATTGAGGATGGAAGAGGGGATTTTTTTTTTTTTCCCTTTGGCAGAACCGGGGATTGAACTCAAACCCTTGCACTTGCCTGTGCTTATTCTACTGAGCCATCTCCCCGGCCCCTAGAAAGAGGGGATTTTAACTTGTAAACTTGTACGTGTGCATGTGTGCTCGCATGTAAACATGTATGCACACACGTGTCTATTTTGTGTGTGTGTCTATATTATGTATTTATGAAAGAACAAGGCTAAGATACTACCTCTGCCCTCACAACTCTGTTCTCTGCTTTGGAAAACTACTGCTGCCACAGGGATTAAATAATGCCCGGGACAGGGTCTGGCGCAGTTTCTCTCGAGAGGAGACTGCAGCTGAGCCCCTGTGAGGTGACTGCCAGGCCTTGCGCCATCCCTGCCCAAGGCAGAAACCCTCTGCAGGACCTGGGGGCACAGCCCATCCTGCGAGACACGCGGGGTGAGGGTTGTGCCGTATGTGCATGGCCCGCAAAGGCCTCGCCCAGGCTCACCTGGACATCTTGCTCTGCCAGATTGTAGTCAGTGATGCCACAGTAGCTCTCACGACTCCCCTAAAAGGAGAAGACACTTCTCAGGTTCTCAGGATGTTTTTTTTTTTTTTTTTTTTTTTTTTTTGGCAGGGGGGATTGAACCTAGGACCTTTTCACTGAGCTACATCCATCCCTAGCCCTTTTAATTTTTTTTTAAATTTTGAGACAGGGTCTCTAAGTCACTAAATTACCTCAGGTGGTAATTTAAGATGGTGATCAAACTTGTGATCCTCTTGCCTCAGCCTCCCACAGTGCTGGGATTACAGGCTTGTGCCACCAAGGGGCAGCCTTTCATTCCCAAATGTGGGCCTTCCCCAACCCCCCCCCATTTATCCCCCAACCCCTTTTGTTTATCACAGAATAGCAGCACTTCTGCTCTGGCCCATCCCCTGAGCCAACAGGGGAATTCCCTTCCCTGACAGGCCAGTCCGCCTCACCTTGGCCAGGGCCAGGAGCAGGTCCTGCAAGATGCTAGTGGTCTCAGACTTGATGTCCTCCTCAGCCTCAGCCTGGAAATCTGGGGTGGGGCCAGGAGCTCTCTTACTCCAGATCTTCCCCAGTGTGGACAGCCCCAGGACCTGTCAAACGCCTGACTCACTGCGTCCTGCTGACCCTGCTGTCTCCAACTCAGAGTAGTTCAATAGCTGCCTATTCCCAGGATGTGCGGCCCAGGCACTGCTATGGCACTAAGAACATCACTTAGCTCATGGTGCGCTCATTCCCAGCACCAAGCTGCCGGGCAGGGGGCAGCCACTGTTAGAGCCATGCGGAGAAGAGTGGAACAGGAAAGCCTCACTGTCAGGTAAGATGGCCAGGGCTGGCCCTGCACTGATGACTGTGGGTGAGCAGGAAGGATGTGCGAAGACATCCTTCCACAAAGCTGGGAAGAGCCAAAAAGGGAGAGAAGGAAGATGAAGGAAGGAAGGAAGGAAGGAAGGAAGGAAGGAAGGAAGGAAGGAAGGAGGGTAGGAAGGAAAAAAAAAAGTAGGAAGGGAGGAGGGGAGGGAAGGAGGGAGGGAGATAAGAGATAGAATAAGACCACAGGCTGAGGCTGGACCCCAGAGGAAAAGGGAGGTGCCAAAATGAAGATGAGGGGAGATGGCTCAGTAGAATAAGCGCATCCCTGGCAAGCGCAAGGGTCTGAGTTCAATCCCTGGTTCTGCCAAAATGAAGATGAGACAGAGCTGATTGCAAATTAGTGGTGAGGCCGGTGGCACCTAACCCATCAACTGGGGCCAAACAGATGACACCCTAACTGCCCCTCAGGCTGTGCCCAGGGTGCCATGGCAAGGACAGCAAGGGGTTTGGGAGGTGACACAGGCCTGTCTGAGACTCTTATGTTGCCTAACCTTGTCATTACTTTGGAACTTGCCCTGGAACCCCAGACTAATCATTGTTTCTCATTCTTTAATGATCACATGTGGGTCTCTCCCTGGGGAGACCAAGGCATGGAAGAGGGAGGGGAGAGACCCCAAAGGAAGAAAATGTGCCCAGTCAGGGTCCCAGGTGGCTGTGTCTAGGGAGTTTGGGAGGGGACTGTCCTACAGCCCCCTGTGCTTCTTTCACCCACCGGGGGACCCTCCCCCCATGTTCTCACGGAGTTTGTAGGCTGCCAGGCACTCCTGCAGCTGGGGCAGGGCTCGGGTGGCAAGGATTTCCAGTGCGACATCTTTAGCAAAGCCTGAAGTCTATGGGAGACAGGGAGCTGCTCTGAGACCTGAATCAGACTGTGTCATTAGGTGTCATTAGGATGGTGACAGAGGGGCAGACAGCAGGCATAGCCATTTCCCCTAAGGGCTGATCTCCTCCCTCCTCCCCTCAGTGTCCCTGATTCCCAGACTCCCCACAGGCAACTTCTCCGGGTACCTTCAAGGCCATTCGCAGTTCCTGGGCATCGGATTGGGCCGCAGGCTGTAGAAGAGCCACCACGATCCTCTCCAGGTTTCCAGACAGAGCTGCCTGTAGGGACTTCAGCAGGTCCTAGGTAAAGTGTCCCCACAGCATGGGGTCAGGGGCCACAGGAAGTGTAGAGGGTTTGGACAGATTTGGTCCTTTTGTTTTTTTGTCTTTTTGAGACAGGGTCTCGTTATACAGTTCAGGTTGGCCTTATAACCGAGGATGTTCTTGAACTCAGAACAATCCTACTGCTTCATCCTCCCAAGTACTGGGATTATAAGTATGTGCTACCATGTCTAGATTTTTTTTTTTTTTTTTTAATCTCATTTTAGTTGGGGAAGGGGTTGGCCTTGGCTGCCTTTGCTGTACCCTAAGTCCAACAGGTGGTTCTCACCCTGGACCCTATTCTGGGGGTCAGCATCTCACCTGCTGGGTGCGTTCCCAGAAAGCTCGAGAAAGGAGCTGCCTCTGCTCTCTGCTGCGATTGGTCAGCACGTCAATGATGGCACTGTGGTCCACACCTGAGCAAGAGGAAGGCATGGATGGAGCCAGGCCTCCTGCTCCATGGGGGATACCAGGGTCTTGGAAGGCCAGGAGGGAAGGAGCAGGGGTTACCTGCTTTATTTGCATCTAAAAATAAAATGTCAAAATGGGGGCCTACCCCTTAGTTCAGTTCTTTAAGTGGCTGCTTCAACAAAGCAGTCAGGCTCAGGTTGCTGTGGTTGGATCCCCACAACTCAAGCCAGCCAAACCTGCCATGAAGGCATTCGGAGCCAAAAAAAAGAAAAAAAGAAAAATCCTTCTGCCATTTTCGGAAAAATAAATAAATAAATAAATAAATAAATAAAAAATCAAAATGTCAAAATGGCATGTAAATCTGACACCTATTTAGGCAAAGAAGGCCAGGTGTGATGGTCAAAAAGAAAATACTTTTTGGGATTAGCTAAGTGGCACAGAATCTCATTCTTTGTTTTTGAGATAATGTCTCACTACATAGTTCAGGCAGGCCTTGAACTCACTATGTAGCCCAGGCTGGCTTCCAACTTTGTCATTCCTGGTGCGTCAGCCTTCCCAGTGCTGGGATTACAGGCGTGTACCATCACACCTGGCTCTAGAATCCAGTTCTAAACTGGGCACAGTGGCTAACGCACGGGGATTATAAATTTGAGCCCATCCTAAACAATTTAGCAAGACCCTGTCTCAAAATAAAAATAAAAAGATTTGGGGGTGTACCTTAGTGCAATGGCTGATGGCTCAATTCCCAGCATTCCAGCTCCCCCACCCCTTTTTTAATTTGGATTGGCTAACTTGGTTTACATTCCTTTTTTGGGGGGGGCAGGGTCTCACTATGCAGTGCAGACTGGCCTTGTGCTCACTTTTGTAGCCCCCAGGCTTGTCTTGAACTCCCAGAGATCCTCCTGTCTCAACCTCCCAAGTGCTGGGATTACAGGCGTGCACTACCATATCCAGTTCTGGGGCCAAGACTGAATGGCATGCAGGACTGGGGATGGAGCTCATGTTCTTGTGCTTGCCAGGTGGGGTTTATGCCTCTGAACTGTCCTCCTGGCCCTTAGATTCTCAATTCTGAGTGCAGTGGTGTATGTCTATAATCCCAGCCCGCTGGGAGGCTGAGATAAGAAAATCACAGTTGGAGCCCAGCCTGATCAGGTTAATGATTTGAGGAGATTCTGTCTCAAAATTAAAAATAAAAAATGGCTGCACATGTTAGTGCTCACTTGCATACCAGCACTTGGGAGACTGAGGGAGGAGGATCACTGTAAATTTATGACCAGTTTGAGCTACAAAATGAGCTCAAGGCCAGGCTGAAGTGCATAGTGAGACTCTGTCTCAAAAAGAACCCCCCTCCCAAAAAAAAAAGGGTGCTGGGTTTAGTGCCAAATGCACTTGTGATCCCAGCACTCAGAAAGCTGAGGCAGGAATATTGCCGAGTTCAAGGACAGCCTGGGTTACATAGCAGGACCCTGTCTCAAAACAAAACAAAAAATAAGGCTGGGTTTGTAATTCGTTGTGCAGGCCCTGGGTTCAATCTCAGTTGTGCAATGCATTATGAGCTGTGTGGCCTTGGGCCAGCTTTGCAAGCACCTCCCTGAACCCCAGATTCCTCATCTGTAGGGTGGGAATGACAAGCTCACCTCACAGGCCTGTGAGGACAGATGTGACAATGCCATGGTGTTTGACACACAGGGATTAGGGCATTTCACAAACAGCACACCCCAACACAGAAGGAAGAGGCTCACCTTGACCTGTGATGGCTCTTAGCAGCCTGTGGACATCCTTGTCCACACCAAAGCTCAAGAAGGTCCTGAGAGTGCCCAGTGTCCCCCAAGCTGCAGTCTGTAAGAGCAGGGGTGATTAGGAGGGGCCTTTCCCACCTGATTCAGTCCTCAGCTAGGCCCACTCTCTTTTTTTAGCTCTCATCTCACAGCCTCTGAGGATTGGGTGTGGAGAGGGTGGAGGCTTTTGCCCTCCCCCTCCTCTTTCTTTTTCCTCCTCCTGTCCCTGGCCTTTGCCCTGTGCTCTGGTTCATGTTTCCAAGCTCGGAGAAGATTCTTAGCTGGGGATGGGGCACATGCCTATAACCCCAGCTACTTGGTAGGCTGAGGCAGGAAGATCTAGAGTTTGAGGCAATTTGGGCCACACAGTGAGACCTTGTCTCTAAAAACAAAATCAGGGCTGGTGAGATAGCTCAGCAGACTACAGCACCTGCTTAGGCAAGCTTAGGCAACCTTAGGCAAGCGCAGGGACTGTAGTTCCATCCCCAGCACCACATGCAGTGCCAGCCCTGCCTCCAGGGTGGGTTGAGCCAGCCAGAGTCTGGCTATAGCAGCACAAGCCTGTAATCCAAGCACTGGGGAGGCTAAAAATAGGAGGAGCACCACCAGTTCGAGCTGTGTAGTGAGACCTGTAACAACCAAATACATTAAAAGAACAAAACAAAATCAGAGTCGGCATGGTGGTGCACGCCTGTAATCCCAGCACTTGGGAGGCTGAAGCAGGAGGATTGCTTCGAGTTCTGTTTTATTTTGTCTTTTTTGAGACAAGATCTCGCTATGTATTTTTTAAAAAAAATTATTTTACTGTATTTCTTTGGTTGAACCGTTTTTTAGGGGAGATTTATTTTTTGTTTTTGATGCTGAGGACCTGACCCAGGGCTTCCAGCTTGCTAGGCAAGTATTCATACCGATGAGCCAAATCCTCAGCCCCAGATCTCCCCATGTAGTTCAGCCTGGCCTTGAGCTGAATTTGTAGCCCAGCTTGAATTCGTGGCAATCCTTCTGCCTCAGTTTCCTGAGTGCTGGATTTGCAGACATGCCCCAACATACCCAGCTTGCTGTGAGTTCTAGGCCAGCCTGGACTGCATAGTGAACCCTGTCTCAAAAAGACAAAAACAAAACAACACCCCCTCCAAAAAACAAAACAATAAAAATCCTCCCCCCAAAACCAGAATCCTAAAATCCCAGCAGCTCCTACCTTGTTGGCCAGGCCTAGGTGGCTGAGGATTTCCTGGGTCAGCGAGGACTGCATCACTTCACCGGTCACAGACATGGTTCAACAACCCAGCTTAGTGAAGGAAGGCGAGAGGAAGAGACAGCCCTGGAAGCCCTCTCAACGTTCCGCTGCACTGGAGCCTGGACTTCTAGTACCAACTCCTTTCCCTTGTTGCAGATAAAAGAAAAAAAGAAGAAAAAGAATATTAACCTGTTTAGCGGGCTTGGGAACATGAACCAGAGCGCAGGGCAAGGGCCAGGGACAGGAGGAGGAGAAAGAAAGAGGAGGGAGAGGGCAAAAGCCCCCACCCTCTCCACGCCCAACCCTCAGAACAGCACTAACCAAGCCTTCCCTAACTTCAAGATGTGTTCAAGGCTCTTCAGCCCCTAGTGCAAGGTGATGTCCCCCTCTGAGGTCCACAGCCTGGCAGGGTTCTCCCAGGGCAGTATGGGGTGTGGAGGAGCCCTGACCAAGTCCAGAGAGTGGAAGATGCCCAATTGCAGCTCCCCCAGGTCAAGCTCCACCACTGGCAGCCCAAGCCCTGCCTGTGAGCGCTCCTATTGCCTACCCTTCCCTCGGGGACCTCACCAGACTCTTGGCCAGCAGCTGTGAGGTCAGAGCTGAAGTGAATCTGTGTCCTTGTGTGATGTGGGCTCCTGGACCAGAGAGCAGGCAGTGTCACATTAGGAAAGGAAAGCATGCATCTCTTCTGCCCCCTCCCTAGCCGAGGACCTAGGAGGTCTGGCTCACCCAGAGGTGCTGGAGGTGTGGCAAGTGTCCTGGTGGCCTCTTGTGTGGGTGCCAGGTCCTCCGCAGCCTGGTAGAGGAGGGGGGTGGGGCAGCCAGTCAGGTGGCCTCTCTTGAAGACCAACCCCACCAATCTTCACTGGCCCCTCCTAGCCGTGGGGAGGACTAGGCCGTGCCAGGTGCCGCATGTGGGCACCTCCTCGCCTGGCATCTCTTCTCCCAAAGCTGGGCAGGAACCCAGGCAGGTGAACTTGCTCAGCCTGGCTGGCGGCAGACATGGACACAGGAGGCTTTGTAAGCCACGTCCCCTGGGGGATCAGGGGGCAGCCACAGAGACCCAATCTCTGTGTCCAGCTTCTGACCTGGCTCTGTCACCAGCTCCAGTTCCCCAGGGGCTGGGCAGACGGCTCCAGGCTGATTTCAAGGTTGATAGAGGAAAACCTGTTGGGGCACATACCAGCAGGGCACCCCAGCTTGCAGAGGGGGTCCCGGCCCAGAAACTCCCCGACTACAGCCTCTGGGAGCCAGGTGGAGTAAGATGTTGATATCTGTGAAAGAGGAGGAAGGTATGAGGAAGAAGGTATGCAGGAGTGGAATTAGAGCAGCAGTCAAGAGAGAAAACTGCAGGGTGTTCCCTGTGGACAGTAACGCCGCACTCCCACAACACGGAGAAGGAGGCGGCTCCTGGGCCCAATTTCTAAGCCTCCTTCTGTTGCCTTTTGGCTGCCAGGTGCTCTGGCTGCTCTGCAGCAGCAGGTGATGCAACCCCAGCAGCTGGTCTTGAGGCTGTCAGTGCGCAGAGCAGCAGGCAAACCGTCCCTGAGCGCAGGCCTCAAGGGCCTGGGGGTGAGGCTGGGGACTGGAACCCCAGGGCAGTCCCTCCCATTCCTACCCTGCTCTCCCTTCCCCTTCTCCCTTTCTGACCTAGCCTGGAAGGGTCCTGAAGCACTTTGTTACCACAAAGGGATTTTTTTTTTTTTTCCAGAACTGGGGATTAAATTTAGGCCCTTGCACTTACCAGACAAGTGCTTACAAGTGCTTAGTCTACTGAGCTATCTCCCTGGCCCCCGGAAATTTTTTTTTTTGGAACTGGGGATTGAACTCAGGCCTTTGCACTTGCCAGGCAAGCACTTATTCTACTGAGCCATCTCCCCAGCCCCCAGGATTGTTTTTTTTTTTTTTTTTAAGGAGCAGAATATTTTTTAAAAAAATTATTTATTTATTTTTCTGTGTGTGGCCAGCTCAGCCCACCAGGGGACGGGGCTGGCTGGCATGTGGTGCTGGGGGATTGAACCGCACTCCCTGTGCTTTGCCAAGCTTGTTCCAAGTAGATGCTTTAGACCACTGAGCCATCTCACCAGCCCCCAGAATATTTTCATTGAGGGAAGGAAAACTTCTGTCTGAGAGAGGGACAGAAAGTGACCGGAGTGGGTTGCCAAGGAATCTGCCCACAAATTTCCACGGTATCCAACACTGTTCCTCACTTCTGTGAAAACGGAAATCAAGCACCAGCTTCAGAGCTGGAGAATGTGGGTTCAGCTCTGCGACCTTAGCTGTTCTGGCCTCTAAGTGGGGTATGTGAGAGGCTGAGTGGGGACACAGTGGGGCATCTGAGGACAATTTCTGGGAGGAATGGGTGAAATAATGGATGTGATGACACGAGGCAGAGGCGTGTCCTGTAAATTAGGGTATTAGATTAAGTAACCCAGGCCGGATGTGCAGGCGCAAGCCTGTGATCCCAGTATTTGGGAGACTGAAGCAAGAGCGTCACCTCGAGTTCGAAGGCCAGCTTGGCTACTTAGTGAGCTCAAGGCCAGCCTGAACTGCATAACAAGACCCTGTCTCAAAATAATAAATAAATAAAATAGATGTGGACGTTAGTGCTAGAGCAGCCTACACTTAGTATCATGAAAATCCCCAACTAATACATAACAATAAGTGTTGTTGCAATATTATTTTATTTTTTATATATTTATTTTTTATTGAGAAATAAATATGAATGAGACTGTTTCACAGCTGATTAATAGGACAGTTTTGATAGTTGATACACTGTACATTGTTACCTTCTTAGTGATTATCCATAGTACAAGAAGCAGACAGGATATTCTGTCTAAACACTTTTAGTACAACTCTTTCTTCTCATTGAGTTAAGCGAAAGTAGCTGTAAATTTATCCTATTTTGTATATATAAATACAAAATGATCTTTCCTTTGTATCCTTTTATTTTTTTATTTTTTTGTCCTGTCAGAGGTGAATAATCTGTTGGCATCTAAATACTATAGGTGTTTGAATTTAACTAAACAATCTAACACTGTCTAGCAGTCTATAATATTAGTGGGAATATTATTTTATAAAGGTTATTGTTACCTGGTCTCTAAGAAGTGCAGGCTGGGGAAATGGCTCAGTGGAATAAGCGCTTCCCTGGCAAGTGCAAGGGCCTGAGTTCAATCCCTGGTTCCTCAAAAAAAAAAAAAGAAAAAAAGAAAAAAAAAAGAAAAGAAAAACCTTGTAGTTTTAAGAAGTTCAATTTTGGCTCTCAGGCAACTTGCCATTTGCGATGTGGCCACAAGAGGGCATGAGCAGCCACTGCGCATCTCGAATCCCCTGGGGCCGCTGGAAGTCCCTGACTGCGCCTGGGATACTGAGGGGCTCTCAGCCCAGAAGGGAACCGGATGGGGGCGCGGCAGAGGCTCGGTGGCTGGCTGCCTGTCCAGGCCACGGGCGGACCTTTGACGGTCCTGAGGCTGGGTGAGCGTAATGCAGCTGTTCCGCAGCCGGGTCCCCCACACCTTCAGCTCTGGGAGCCCCTCCGGCCCTCTTCGGCTTCAACTGCCACGCAAGCTCAAGAGGACAGGCAAGAGTGGGAAGGGCACTTGTCTGTCCGGCCTAAACTCTCCGGGGAACACCAGGAAGACCTAAAAGAAGATACACAAGTCTAGTCACACGGCAGAAAATAGTCGAAGTGGATGCGTGTGTGTGTGTGTGTGTGTGTGTGTGTGTGTGTGTGTGGCATATTCACAGCTGTTCTGCTGTGACTCCTACTTTTTGTCTCTGGGCTTTGTTTTGTTCAGCAGGAGGGCTAGACAGATGGTTTTCACAGTATTAATCCCTTCCCTCTCCTGTGCTCTCTGTTTTAGGATTTAGGGTTGGAGGACATTTTAGGGATGACCTAAACTGCTGCCCTTCCTTATTGATTCAAGGAGGCTAGTCAGGCATGGAAGCCTATATCAGTAGTTCCAGCCCTAGTGAGGCTAAGGCAAGAGGATTGCAAATTTGAGACCAGCCTGACTAAAAGGCTGTGAGGCTCTGTCTAAAAAAAAAAAAAAAAAAAAAAAAAAAGCAGGGCTGGTGAGATGGCTCAGTGGTCTAAAACACCTACTTAGAACAAGCTTAGCAAAGCACAGGGACTGCGGTTCAATCCCCCAGCACCACATGCCAGCCAGCCCGCCCCCTGGTGGGCTGAGCTGGCCACCCCCTCCTACATAAATAAATAAAAAAAAAAAAAAAAAAAAAAAAAAAGCATGACTTCCCAGGAGCATGGGGCTACAATCCAGGCACTATTTCAGCGTTTTCTTCATCCCTTGTTGGAGGTAAGGGTGTCTTTGGGCTCTTCTTAGGGGAATATAGGGGCAGAACAATGACATATAGTGGTTTAAGCGTTGACTCATGAACATTTCTTCTGTTTTGTTTGTTTTACTTTTTAGACAGGGCCTTACTCTATAGCTCAGGCTGGTGCTAAAATCAGTATGTAGCCCAGTCTTGTTTTGAACTCATGGCAAATACTTAGGCCTCAGCTCCCAAGTACTGAGATTTCAGACGTGCACCACCACTCCAGACCCATTTTGTTTTCCACTTTTTCTTTCTTTCTTCCTTTTTTTTTTTTTTTTTGTCTTTTTGAAACAGGGTCTCACTAGCAGTTAAGGTGGCCTTCAGCTCACTTTGTAGCTCAGGTTAGCTTCAAACTGGCAAGATCATCCTGCCTCAGCCTCCCAAGTACTGGGATTACTGGCATCCACCACCATGCCTGGCTCAACTTATTTTTCTTTTTAAATAACAAACACCTCTCTCTCTTTTTTTGGGGGGGGGTTTGAGACGGGGTTTCACCATGCATCTCAGGCTGGCCTCAAACCATGATGATCCTTCTACTTTAGCCTCCCAAGTGCTAGGATTACAGGCATGTGCCACTGTGCCCAACATGAGTATATTTTTATATTTGGCAGTTCACTATTATTATTATTATTATTATTATTATTATTATTATTAGAAAGGGTCTTGCTACATAGTTCAGGCTGCCCTTCAACTATATAGCCCAAGTTGGCTTCAGACTCCTGCTGATCCTCCTGTCTCAGGCTCCTGAGTGCTGGGATGGCAGGCATGCACCACTATGTCTGGCTTAACACATGTTTTCACTCCAAGGGTCATATTGCTGTTCAGCCAACACTTTACATTGTTTGATTTGACAACACAGGAATCTCTTCTGGCTATTCACTCACTGTTAGAACCCCTGGCACCTGAGGTTGTTCGGGCAGGAGCCAGGCTGTACTCCTTACTCAGGTTCTGAAGCTGGATGTGGTGGCACACACATATAATCTTGGCCCTTGGGAAGCTGAGGCAGGAGGATCTTTGAGAGCTTGAGACCAGCCTGGGCTACAATGTGAGCTCAAGACCAGCCTAAAATTCACAGCAAGACCCTGCCTCAAAACAAAAACAACCCCCTCAAACAACAAAACAAAACAAAAAACCCTCAAATAGGCTCCTGGGCTCTACATAGCCCAGCCTGGCTTTTGGGAAAGACCCACCTTTCCCAGTTCAGCTTCATGTGTTTGCCCATCCTAGGAGCCTGCTCAGACCCTTGGGCCTGGCTGGCTGGCCTGCCCTCTGCCTTGGGACACCTCAGCAACCCATGCAGAGGAAGTGAGTCACCACAGGGCAGGCCAGCCCTGGGCATGGTGGGCGTGGTCATGCCAGCCTGGAGATGGGGGAGGGGTCAGAAGGGCCATGAGCATAACCTCCTGGTCCAGCCGAGGAAGAGGCTGAGGATGTGTGGAGTGTCCTCCTGATGCGGGCAGAGAACAAGTTACCTCTACCCCATGAAGGGGCTCCTTTATCTCCTGGCCAAGGGGTACACCCTCTTATCTTTATTTCTCAGGCCCTCATTATCCAACGTCTGCCCCAAAACTTTCCCTCACCACTGCTATCCTTTTTTCTTTTTCTTGTGGTGGTGCGCTAGATTGGACCCAGTACCTCTTGGGGAAGTGCTCTGCCCCACTGCCGTCTTTAAAAACAAGGG